AAAAATTCCAATATTAAGCACAATATACTATGTTTACCAATAATTTATTCTTCTTTGAGCATGAACCAAGCATTGCCGAAGATCAATTCGTTTGGTATTTGAATTAACGTTGCAATAATTTCCTATTATACAGTATATATAAATATATTTTTTCTTAATGATGAAATTTTTCAAATATGAATTTTTTATATTGTAAATCGTGCTGAAATTAAATAAAACATCTTTTCAAGTAAAGAAATTTGTTCCAAATGTTGAACATGATTTAAACTTGGATGATAATAATTTAAATGCTAGTGAAGAATTCACAAATAACAAAGCAATTAATAAACTAAAAACTTTACTAAAAAAGATATCATTTATTATTATCGTTATTTTTTAGAATTTAACTTTAAATAACCGGTGGGGATCATCTAGGGATGTTACGGTCCTGCAAGGACCGTGGTCCGGGACGGACCGTAACATCCCTATGATCATCACTGGTGTATAATTAGCCAATAACGATAAAACAATAAAAAGATTTCATTTCATTAACTTTAGGTTAGGGCGAGGCCTGGGATTTTAACAAGGTGTTATATATATTCAAATTTTAGCAAGGAATTTTTTTTGTTATAACGTCGAAGGTGGTTTCATAGACGAATTCTTGAGATATTAGCATTTTTTTAATTTGCACGTTACAACCGGTTATAGTTATCAATATTCAAATTTATATAATGCCGTGTAACTAAAATCACATGGTGATGAATTTTTTTGGATCCCGCAGAGATGTAGAATTAAAACATGAGTTCTCGATACTCATTTACCTTAGCAACAATTAATTACATGAATTCTCGTATTCAAACACAAAGGTTTACCAATAATTCGAATAATTCGACGACTGAGAATATTATCAATCCAAATGTAAAAATTTTATTTCGTAATAAAGATTTTTTAGTGGTTGATAAGCCGTATGTTATCACCACATTTTATTAATTTCTCCAACTTTGGAATCATTTACGAAAATTAATATCTTCAATGTATTTTGCACCAATCGGTTTTTTTTTTTAAAAAAAAAAAAAAATGTCGCGGAAGTAAAGCTATGATATTAGAATAGATGGTGACACTTCAAAAGCTCCTACTGGTATTCTATTCAAATTTCATAACTATGTGTAATTATTATTTAAGCGATAAAAACTTAGAATTTTACCTTGTTATTCAGTATCTTCTCTTCTGTACGCTCAAGATCCAACATTACCGATTCCATTACGTAACGTACACCAACTAGATCATGCAACGTCTGGATGTTATTGCTTAGCATTATCAAAGAAAGCTGCTGGAATTGCTAGTGTGGCATTCGCGAAACGTAAAGTTGAGAAAACTTATTCTGCGATTGTGAGAGGATGGTTGAAAGATGATAGGTAAGTCCTTTAAAATTTTCGACACGTTTTGATAGTTTCTTCAACAATAATAATGCGGTAACTATAAATATAAAAAAAGTTATGTAGTAGACCAACCAATTGCCCAAGTTCCAAATAATCGTTATCGAATGTGTATTGGGACGTCAGAAAATCCTGGAAAGGTACTTCTAAATTTTATATTGTTTTTTTTTTTTTATATATATATTATTTTTTATCATTATACTTATAATAATATGGTATTTTAAAGCCCGCAAAAACGAAACTTGAAGTTATTCGTCGTGGCTATTTTTATCCCACTTCATTTTCATCTCTCCCTTCAGGATCACCAATTAAAGTAACGTTAATAAACCTATATCCAATAACAGGTCGAAGACATCAACTTCGATTACACTGTCAGTATTTAGGTCATCCAATTGTTGGCGATTGGCATTACGAATCGCAAATTATGGAATATACTGACACTTTTCGTATGATGTTGCATGCTCTCAAATTGCGTATTCCCTTAAATACTACACAACATGCAAAAACGGTAAATGTGGAAAATAAGATGGATGAAAGTGGTAAATGTAATGATCTGGAAATGGATGAACTGGACGTTGTATCAGAAGATCCTTTTCCAATATTAGTTTACGAGTTTGTGAAGGATAGAGATGATAAATGTGATAGTAATAGTGATCAATGAAGCATTATAAAAAAATTTATTATGTTATTTAATGACAACAAATGAACAATTGGTTAATTGAGGAAATAGAGATTAATTTTTTTCTGAAGTCTCAAACCCGAGAGATATATGATTGTATGTAGTATACCATTACCGTACAGCGCTGCATACAGTACCCCCGGTCTTTTTTAAAAAGTACTGGTATTAATTAAATAGTCCCCGGGGTACTGTGTTAAGAGATAGGTACTATACTAGGGGGGTACGTACTATGAAAGTTTTGACCATGTGAGTTAATCACATAAAGATTGATTAGTACCGGGATACTTTTCAAAAATGTCAAAATTTACAATTTAATAGTACCCGATACTATTCAAAGGGGGTACTTTTCCAGGGGGGGTACTGTATGCAGCGCTGTACGGTAATATTATTTAGTGATTTACTCTTAAAATAAATGTAGCATTCATTCAAACAACAAATCATTGTTATACAATGTTTAATTATGTTTATATTTTAAAATTTTTAGATTTATTTTGATGATGATTCTGGCTTATGAACTTTTTCATTTAAGCTTAAAATTGTCAATATACAATGTATACTGATAACGATTATTATGTAATAATCAGGATGGTTATTTTAAAGAGGTTTTTTGAAAGGTTATTTTTATTATGATAATTGAGTAATTACAAGCTTATTTACAATATATTTATAATAATAATAATAATTAAATCAAATAATTAAATATACAATATAAAATCTTAAATATTTATAGTAAGATAGTTTTAAAAATATTGATTTAATCACCAAGTAGAGATGTATATTATAAGTTAGAACGATATTATTATAATAATAAATTTTGGAATCTAGAGTTTACCCGAAGATAAATAATTTTTTTACTAAGTAAACCTCTAATAGAGACGATGAATGTGATCGTAATGGCAAAAATGCTAAAATCGGCTCAGTAGATCGCGAGATATTAGTCTTCGCAATTATATGTTTTCTTTGCAGTTTACAAAAGAAAAAAATGATTGCGAAGACCAAATATAAATATATTGCAGTATACCGTACCGATTTTAATTTTACATTCTTATTTTCGTAATCTTTATTAGAATCACGAGATTTACTTAGAAATATTTATTTTTGGGGAAACTCTAAATTCCATCTAAAAAAATTTCCAGATCACGAATTAAATATATAATCATACATAACTTAATTTTATTATATTATATAATTGTGTAAAATTTAGTGTCGGAATCAAAAATTTTAAAATAATTTTATTTCAAATTATCACTAATTTGAAGACTTTAAAAAAACATTAGCGCAACTTAAAAGTCAGAATATTTTCTATATGTCGCACTATATACAATACTTCAGAATCGGCGACTCGAAATAATGATATTTTCTACTAGTTAACAATATATATGTGAGAAAACAAAAGACTCATTCAATGACCCAGTAACTCGATGCAAAATTAATTAATCCTATTCACTACTGTCTTCAGGATCCCAAGAACCAGATGCTAATTTAGGTTTATCCCATTCACGCACACCATCATAAACTGATTTTTTTTCATCATCTTTGGACCTTACACTTTCAGGATCCCAAGATCCGGAAGCTAATTTAGGTTTATCCCATTCACGTACTCCATCATAAATAGCATCAGTTTTTGTTTTTGTTAAACTCTCGAGATCCCAACAACCAGTTAATTTTGGCATATCCCATTCACGTACGACTTCATCCTTAGCTTTTTTACGTTTTTTAAATGAATCAGAATCCACATCACTATCAGAATCTGAGGATGAATCAGAATCCGAGTCTCGCCTACGCTTCTTTTTTGATTTTCTAGATTTACGATGTTTTTTAGATTTTTCTTTATGACGCTTTTTTTTCTTTTTCTTTTCAACTTTTTCGACTTCCTCAGAAATAATAGGTAGGATTGGTAAGTCTTCAGTCTTGGTTGATACTTTTTTATTGACAGCAACATAATTGAGCCAACTAAAACGTTCAAAATCGTACATGGGATCATAGTCTTTTTCAAAATATTTATCCATTTTAGAACCATCACTAACTTCACCACGGCCTTTTTTGCGTATAATAGGCGCTGGAGGATTACTTTTAACTAATTCTGATGCTGAGCAAAAGTTAATCTTTGGAGACATTGATATTGGAGAAATTGACATATCACTGTTACTCATATCACAATTATCCATATCATTGTTATTCTCATCACATTTACTTTCTTTCTTGGAACAACTTGAACTACGACTCGAGCTCGAACTTGAACTCGAACTAGGACTTCTAGACCGTCTACTTTCGTAATCTCTATGTCGACTTCTTCGCCTTCTTTTTCTAATTAACAATAATATAATATATATATATATTATTAATAATTTATAACCAATGAATGTATAATAAAAAAAAAAATATTTTTTTTTTCTTTTACCTTGACCTAGAAATTTCTTCTTCACTGTAATCAGAATCACTGTATCTACTACTACTAAAATGGTCGGCATACCTTGATTTATCCCTTCGAGAACTTCTTCGGCTACTTCTATCTCTATCTCTATCCCTATCTCTATATCTTCTTTTGCTTGAACGGCGACGGTGTAATCGTTCTAAGCGTCTTAAATTACGCATACGGGCAGCAGCGGCATCCTCTTCAGACTTTTTGACTAAGGCTTGATTATGACCATCTACGCTCTTTATTACATTAAGTAAGAAACGTTTATTCGTCTTTGGAAGATTACAAGGAGCCCTAAAATTATAAAGGTGTAAAACTAATCAAAATTTAACCTTTTTTAACATTAAAAGATATTGGGCATAACTTGACTTACGTTCCAGTATCAGGTAAATACGCTCTAAGTCCTTCCTTACTGTACAAATTGTTTTTTGCAGAAGCCTCTTTCATTATTAAGTCTGCAACATACTTGTCCAAATCGTCATCACTAAGGGATGACGGAATATTACCTCCTACAGACGCTCTAACTAATTGATTAACCACAATGTCCAGTGCGGACTTTGGTTTAGTTGGTTGATCATCGGGAGGCGGTACTGGAGGCATTATTACTATTATTGTTAAATATATATATATATATATATACCTATCGCTATATATATTTTTGAAGTTTACGAAACCATTTGCGGATTAAATTTTTTTTTTAAAATTGAGATTCGGGTTCACTAAAATTCTAAATCCAATCATATTTATAATCACGTGATATGCTCAAAATGTTGTTTATATAAATATTGTACAAAAAAAAAATGACGCGATTCGTTATGAAATTCCCGGTCTTTTGTATGCTTTAAGCGTTAGAAAATTACGTATTATCGGTATATCTTCTAAACTTAACTGTTATTTAAAAGAAAAAAAAAAAAAAAAAAACAATTACATAACTTATTGCATGAGTAATTTTACTGATTCTAATTTGAGGAGTTATTCCAGAATCTCCAAAAATAAAATTCAACTTTTGGAAAATTGATTAAATGTAAATATACTGATACTTTATTTTATATTACAGTAACGAGTAATAAAAAAAAAAGTAAAATCAATATGACGATAATTGATAAAGGATTAATAATAGCGATAGTATTAATTTGCAATTTTGATTGGCTCTTTTGTATCATCATATTTTAAGGTGTTTTGCGAGTTGCGTCACCCCTAGAAAATATTAACACCCA